AGTTTTTGGGCAGACTGTCTATCTCTCCTCATGTTTGTTCTTCATGCCTCAGTGTAGGAGAATCAGCAGATCACATTTTCCTTCACTGCAAATTCACCCAAAAGATATTGCTCCATTTTCTGAAACTGGCAGGGTACAGTTGGGTTACACCAAAGCATGTCAAGGACTTTCTACATCAGTGGCAAGGAACAGGCTTAAGTAAGAGGGGTAAAATTTACTGGCAATCAGTATACATGCAATGCTGTGGGGTGTATGGGATGAAAGAAACAAAAGGCTCTTAGACAATAAAGCAAGGCCCCTGGAGGAATTAATCTCAGACATCTCTTATCTGTGCAACCTTTGGACGGTGAATTCTGATCTCTTCAGAGGAGTCTCAGTCAATGACCTCAATAGAGATGCTCACCTTTTCTTATTTCTCCCTCACCTCCATCAATCACCCTTGAGAATTCCTGAACCCATCAGTGAAGGTGTGATGATCTTAAACTTTGATGGAAATGCCCTAGGTAACCCTGGTTTAGCTGGTATTGGAGGAAAATTAAGGGATGAAAGGGGCAACATCGTTTGGACTTTCAGCGGTCCTATTGGTGTGGCAGATTCCACAAAGGCTGAAGTAATGGCTGCCCTCATAGGAATCTGAATAATAAAAAATTTGGGAATTCAAAATTTAACCATTGCAGGTGATTCAGCAAATACAACAAAATGGTTGAGAGACAAAAAGGGGGGACCATGGAGATTCAGTCACTATTTAGAAGAGGCCAGGGACTCTTTGGAATGCCTAAACGTTAAGTTAGTCTGGATCCCTAGGGAATACAACCATACAGCAGATGGCTTAGCAAAATGTGGTGCACTCTTAGAGCATCTATACAGCGACAAACTTCCTCCTTTGTAAATTGTGGGGGTTCTCCCCCTGCTTTGTACACCTCCTCATGTATCCTTTATGAATATTGATTAACTTTTCTCAAAAAAACTTAATGCCAGTGGGGTCCTGTCTAGTAGCTATGTTATTTGGGTCTTATTTAAGTTGCATTCGAAGTTTCATAGTCATAGGATAAGTACAACAAAATTATGATGTTTTCTTTGGGTTGAAGCTTTCTAGTGGCAATCATTATCATCATCCACGCCTTATCCCAACCATATGGAGTTGTCTATCCACGTCATGAGTGTTTGGCAAGTTTTTGTGTTGGCTGCCAACCTGACACAATCCTCCTCCTTTATCCAGGCTTGGGACCAATGGTGTAAGACAAGCTCACACTGGTAGAGTTGCTAGTGGCAATTCTATAATTTCTTGAATAGTAACTTGAGCCTATTATTTCTTTATAAACGTATCTTGAAACTTGTATGCCCTGTTTTAAGGAGAATGAATTGCAATAGTCATCTGAAGTGGTGCAACTATCTGTTTTATGTGCTTCTTCTCTTAAGTGAATCTTTCTTCTTTTTTCATTCTCTTCTCTCTAATGTTCTCTCTCTTCTCTTCCAATTCTCTATTACAATTTTGATTGAGATCTTTTCGTTACCATCTCTTTTAGTTCTTAAAAAGGCTTCAAATTACTCCTTGGGACCCTCTACACAACCCAAATAGGTTTCTTCCTTCTCTTTTTCAATTTCCTTAGTTTTTTTGATAAGCAAATGAAACTTTATTTTATAAAAATCATCAAATCACGTATAGTACATACAACCCTTGGAGAGGTGTGAGGTACACCCCTTGAAAAAAAAATCAACTTAAATTACAATTGAGCCCAGTACAGTTGATCCCTATTAACCTCTTGCTTAGCTAGTACATCTGCCATCCCATTTGCCAATCTTCTAGCCCATTGTATCCTTAGAATTATATTGCTGGTAAGACATTTAAATTTCTTCATTTCCTCCATAAAGGTCCACCCTACAATCTCCGATTTTCCTATCCAACTCACCACTAACTTGGAGAATCACCTTCAATAATCAATTTCTCTATATTCAGATTTCTTGTAATCTGAACACCCTGAATGACTGCAAGGAATTTGACTCTAATAGAGTCTCCCACACCAAATGGTCCTAAAAACAAAGCAATCACATTACCCCTCCCATCCCTAAATACTCCCTCTACTCCTGAAGGACCCAGGCTTCCCTGGCCACTCCTATCAAAATTCAGTTTGATGTAATCTTTGGTAGGAGGAGAACACCATAATAATCAGCTTCTTTTTGGAGGAGCATTGTGCCACTTCACCCCAATTTCTCCAAATGTCATCAAAAGAGAATTGTGAAAAGATATCCAATGTTTTGATCCAATGAATCACCCTTGTCATAGCACAACACACCGGTTCCTAACTTCTTTCCTTCTCAAGAAAATTCCTACATTCCTTTCTTCCCAAATGGTCCAAATTACTGTTTCTCTTATACATCTCCATATAATCCTTCCCCTTCGCTTCGGCCATGAGAAAGTAGATGAGTCAAAAAGTCTATACAACTCCGATGGATAGGAGATTAGTAGGTGGTAGCAGCTCTTTCCATTGGACTTACAGGGGATGCACCAGTTTAGGGATAAGCAAAGAAAAGGTCTTATTTTTTGCAAGTTACCTTATGTGTTTATCTTGCCATGAAAAACTTCCCAACAAAAAGCACCTATCTTGGGGAGACAGGTTGACACCAAAGAGGCATAGAGGGCTAAAAAGGAAACACAAGAAAAAAGGCCTTGAGGATGAGGTGTCCAAAGGTCCAGTGATTTAAAAGGCGCGCTTGAGGCGCACAGGCGAGGCACATTTTGGGGTATGCGCCTCGCCCAGGTCCTAGGCGCACCCCTTTCAAAAGGTGCACGCCAGGTGTGCACCTTTTTAAAATGTTGTTCATTCATTCATTGCAATAAAATATCTTCCTAAAAGGCAATGAAAGTTATAAAATCATTAATTTTTATGTAAGAAATAAGAATTCCAAACCCTAACATAGAGTTGTTTGGGCTTGCCTTGAGGGGCGTGGTACAAAGGTGACTCATAGAATCAAGAATAATATGTTTTACATCACATTAGCTACTTGAAGCAATGCAATTAAGGAAAAAAAGAGATTATGGGTTTTACATGCTTGAAAATGCTTTATATGTTTGCTTTTATTTTTAAATTTTCATTTGAATACGCTTTACATGTTATGTTTATGTATTTTAATTTTAGATAATAGGTTTTTTAAAACATTTATTTTAAAATTTAAGTTTATATTTTTATTAACATTATGTTTAATCTTTTTTGAATTTTTTTACTTGTTTAAAATTTTTTGGCATTTTTTTTGAATTTTCTGACTTTTTTTTATTTTTTTAGTTTTTTTTTGTAGTTTTTGCGCCTTTCTTAAAAAGGCGCGTGCCTCACCTACGCAAATTGGCCCTTGTGCTTTTTTTGTGCCTTGCGCTTTTAAAATACTGGTCCAAACATGCTTGCCAAGCCTAGAGGGATCTTGGCAAGCTTTATTAAGGATTTGCAAAAGCAACTCGACCAAAGCAGACTCATTATCCTGCAACCTTCTTCTAAATCCAAAGTCCAAATTAATGCTCAGGGGAAGCAAGGTAGAGAAAGGAAATTTTTTATTTTTGGACAAGATCAGTTCAGATCCCTCTAAAATTTAGGTCTTATTCATTATCTTCCATTATGTTTCAATCAAAAATTCCAACCAAAATTTTAATTTTTAGAATTTTCAATTTTTTTTTTCAAAAGGAGGAGCTTTTGTCCTTTTGTGCCCAAACTACTCGTAATATCTTCAAATTAAGTCGCCCATTCATTTCAGAATTATAAATATGCATGGAAATTTCAAAATTCCATTGACAAACCTACTTGATTCATCATCTTTGTCATCTAAGCCTTATCCCAAACATATGGGGTTGGCTTCATCAATCCTCTTTCACCATTTTGTTTTGTTTAATGCCAAATCTCCTAGAGCTACTTTTTTGGTTTTTGCAAATTTCATTGTTCCAACTCCACCAATGTGAGTTTGTCTTACACAGTTGATCCCAAACCCAGATAAAGGATGAAGGGTATCACATTGGCAGTGGGCACTAAAACTTTTTCCGAACTCCCATGTTCACGGGTCCTGATTTGTCTTTTCATGCTCATGCTTGGGTATTCTTCGGAAAAAATGCACATCACACCTTAACCCGAGTGTAGTGTCAAATGGGAAAAGGTATTCTAGGGTGGTCCCTGTGACAATGAATATGGCCTTGAACAGAATGAAATGGCGAAACAGGATTCATGTAGCCCCATATAGTTGGGACAAGGCTTAGATGATGATGTGAATTTCATTGGTCCAAGAAGAAACAAATGAATTGTTGAATTTGATCTAGAAGCCTTTATAGGTCAAATTGCAATTCTTACATAATTCCATTAAACTCTCATAAGACTACAAGTCACCTTATTGAGCCTTTCCTTCAAATTTTAAGCTCACCTTGCTCCCATTGTACTACCTGTTTTACATCAATATCTCTCTAGGTGATCATACCTAGGCAAAAAGTACCAGAAAAATACTACTGCTCAGTCCACCTTTAGAGTCATGGAAGAATAGGCTAGTTCGTTCAACCCACGTCATGACCATTGACCTAGGTAATAAGGTTTCTATTATGTGCACTCGATAAAAGAGAACAATACAACTGCTCAATTGGCCCAGAAAATGAGCTCTAATGTCTACTTGAAATATAAAAGACTAAAAATTATTATGAGAAATCAATGCAGAATAGAAAAGACATATAGCCATTGGATGTTTCTATTAGACTTAAATACATTAAAATTACCATTATGCCAATAAAAGCATGTAAAATGATAGAAAAAACCCTTATGCTTAAATGACAATAATATGCCCAACAGTCAACTGTACTATTTTTTTCTCTACATTCTGAACAATGAACATGTTGAAATCTATCCCAGAAATACATTTGCATTGAATTAACCTGAAACTATCATTTTCCACACATGACATGGTATTCACTTTATCCAAATATAAATTTTGTTTGGTCGTGATTTTACTAAAATCTAAACCATTTACCATTATTTCAGGTTATTAAGCGCATTACTGATGGAGGGGCGGATTATTCTTTTGAGTGTATTGGTGACACTGGAATGATAACTACTGCATTGCAGTCATGCTGTGATGTAATTATCATTTACAATGTTTTTTGTGCTTTAGTTTTCAGTTAAGCTTTATCAATTAAATTTAGTGTAATTTCTTATCTTTTGGTTTCTTCAGGGTTGGGGTATGACCGTCACTCTTGGTGTACCAAAAGTAAAGCCTGAGATAACAGCTCACTATGCATTACTTCTTTCAGGAAGGACTTTACGAGGTTCTCTATTTGGAGGGTGGAAACCTAAATCTGATCTTCCATCATTAGTAGATATGTATTTGAAAAACGTAATTTCACAGCCTCTTGACTGCAGAATTAGAATCCAGTATTCCAACTCATTAAGCTATGGGCTCAAATCCTATTCACCATATTTAGATAACTCTTTGAAAATTTGAAAATGGATATGAAAAATTGCATTACTTTTCTGGTTTATCTTCCACAAAATTCTATTATTTTCTTTATGCAAGAATTTTTGTTGCAACATTCTTTCAATACAAGTCTGCTTTGGTGCTTTTTAACTTCTTTGGTTAGGTATTCTAAAAGAAGTGAGATCCACAGGTAAGCAATGCTTTGTTGAATATGATTAAGTTGTTAATAGAAAATCAGCTAATTGTTGAATAGACAACACACTAGAGCTAACCTAAGGTTTCCTTGCTTGAATAAATTGGATTTTGGAAAAAATGATGCTTGAGTTTCCCTTTGGTTACTATATGTTGTGATTCTTCTTCTGGATGCTCTGGAGAAGAGGCAAACTATGAAGGTAACTGGAATTCTGGTTAATAGCCATCGCTGGCTTATTACTAGGATTAAACTAAGTTGTTTTGCACACATACCAAGCATTAGGAAGACAGTGATGAATAGATTTCTAGAGTGTATACATAGAGTGGTAGATGGACCTGTTCATGGGCTGGGTAGCTCAACGAGATGGCCTGGCCTGGTCTGTTCTTTATCATGCTTGAACAAAGCTTTAGGCCCATGGGCTCGGACTCTAGGTACCAGGCCCAACTATTTTTCAGGCGGGATCAGGCTTTTTCAAATAAACCCGGCTTGATAATATCATATATATAACAAAAAATATAATATATATTAATATATTATATATGGTATTATATAGTATAATATATTATATTAATATATCTGTCCAGATTGGGCATTAGGCTTTATATAAGGGCCAGGCTCAGGCTCAAGATCTAGGCCTGATGGTTGGACTGGGCTCGGGCTTGGGCCTGGACATTTTCTGTTAATAAAGATGCAAAGCCTGGCCCGGACCATGAACAGGTCTAGTGGTAGAGTTGTCTCATTCATCATAGGATCTGGAAACATTTCCAGAAATAGGAAGGGGAAAAACAAGACATGACTAATAAGCAATAAATTAACCCTTTCCAAGTTGCAAGAACGGTTACCTACAAGGTCATTATCTAATGTTAATCCCAGTGATCTAGTTGCAGTAGATATGGTCCTAACCTCCAGATTTTTTTTAGCATGAAGTAGCCGCTCTCCATGCTCAAACCTGCATACCCACACTCTTAATAAGTAACTTAAAGAATGTATTTGCAGCCATGGTTAGATGATGGACTATGATTTTCATGACAAGCTTTTTATGTTCTGATCAAACAAAATAAATGCTGATCCAGATAGTTTTTTTTACTAACTCCATTATTTATGTAAGCAGGAAATTCAAATAGATGAGTTCATCACACATAATCTACAATTTGAAGAAATCAACGAAGCCTTCAATCTGATGAGAGAAGGGAAGTGCTTGCGGTGTGTCATTCATGTGACAAAATAATATTCTTGGAGGTATACATTTCATAACAAGTAAATAATGCCACACATGCATTCACTATCATTTCTTTTTATGTGACTTTGTCTTTATTGATGTATCTGCTGATATTAACTTGTAAGTTTGTTTACAAGCAGGCATTTTATGTTATTGGGTTCTTAATGAAACAAGAAGAGAGATCAATTGCTCTTTATTTATCTACCCTTAAGTCATACTAGTAGGTGATTGGTCACTTTGAGACTGTAATGTAATGACAGTGTAAGAAGGATGTAAACATCCATAGAAAAGGATGTAGTATGTGAGTTTTGCAAGAAACCTAAGCATACACAGGATTCTTGTTTGAATTGGCATCCTCATTGAAGCCTGTATGATTCAAAAATAACAGGAAGGGCAATGCTAATGTTGCCACTACACCAGGTGATGAGTCTGCCCTATGCCTGCAGTACCAGTGTTTTAAAAGGCATGCCCAAGTACACAAGCAAGGTCATTTTAAGGCATGTGCCTCACATGAACCTAGGTACATTCCCTTTTGAAGGCACATGTGCTTGGTGTGGATTATGCCTTTCGCCTTAACCCAAACATGCACATCTTTTGAATATGCCTGTTTTTGTAGATTGAGATTCTTATGTGTTTTGTACCTTTGTAATGGTTTAATAGTGCCTCCAAATTACCTTTTATTGTTGTTTGTAAGATAGTAAGAGTATATTCATGGCCAATACGTATTGGTTTTGGAGGCTACCTACATGCAGTATGGGTGGAATGTCAAAATTTTGTTCCATTCTGTCCGTGCCCATTGTATTGGACAATAAACTCCTATTTCTTTATGACTTTTCAAATTCAAATTTGTTTCATATTCTCTCTTATTAACTCTTATATTTAAGTTATTAATTCAAATTTAAATTTGTTTCTTTAATTAACTCCCATTATCTCTCCTCATCATTAACTCCTATATTTAAGTCATTAATTCAAATTCAAATTTGTTTCTTTAATTGACTCCCATTACCTCTCCTCAGTAACTCACTCCATCAACTCTCTCCTCTCTACAAGTCCATTAATTCCCTACTTAACTCAAAAAGTTACATGAAAGGAGTTTTAGACCTGGGTGTCTAAATTAAGAGATAACAAATCTACCACCATGCCATGCTTGAACTATTTCTTATAACTTTACAAATTCTAAATTTTCAACTTACATTTTCTCTTCTTAGTGAAGGATTATCGACAAACTTTAAGAAACAATGATTATTATGTTTTATATATTTATAAAAATTAACAATAATTACATTGATTTCCTAAGAATTAACATATGCTTGCATATCTTGGTTATTTTTATCATTTTTCAACATTTCCTAATTGTTTATATACCTCATGTATGGTCATCTAAGACCTAGATTTAGTGTCATTGGTGTAACTTTTGGGACTTATTTGAGTTTTCCCAACATATCCATGTGCTTCCATTCATGTCCTAAAACCTTAGTTCTTGCAAACAGGATCTCAAATAGCAAAGTTTCCAATAAAGAAGCAACAACAATACAGCTAATATCTAATACCTAATCTCAAAATAGAATGAACTACAACTAAAATCAAACCAACCCCTTTGTGCATACAGGCCAAAAAATTAGGTTGGGAGTACAGGCCTAAACCCACACATGGACTTGTTTAGACTTGTCTTGAGGGGCATTTATGGAGGCAAAGGGCTGATTTCTTAGGATTAGGAATGCGAGATGTTTCAAATTCTTGAATTGTTGATCCACAGTGTTTGCATTTTCACTTTGAATACGTTTTATATGTAATGTTTATGCATTTTAATTTGATCCAATATGTTTTTAAAACACTTAATTTCTTTTAAAGTTACAGGTTTACATTTTCTTATATATGACTATTTTTTTTTACTTCATCAAATTTTCTTTTTTATTTTTTTTAAATTACAATTTTGAAAAAGGCCCTTGCACTTTTTTTGCATCCTGTACTTCTAAACCATTGTGCAACACTTAGCCTTTCTTCTCCAGAGATGCTTGTAGTGGCTAGAGTTGAGTACGAAAAATATAGGAAGTATTTTAAGTAATTAAGAAGTGCAGTAGGGAGTATATCTTTAGGTGGTTGATCTAGTAATTTTTCCCACATAGGTACTCATGTCACTTCATGTAATCAGAGTATTTCATGGATGCTAGATTTAGGTGCTTTTAATCACATGACTGGCCTATCCTCCTTCTTCCAATCCTTCATGTAATCAGAGTATTTCATGGATGCTAGATTTAGGTGCTTTTAATCACATGACTGGCCTATCCTCCTTCTTCCAATCCTATTGTTTGTCTTTTGTGGGGGAAGAGGTTTCTATAGCCAATTGCTCTTTGGCTCCTATTTTATGGGAAAATGGAGGTAAATAGAGGAGAATGTCGAAAAAAAATCACAAGTTGCAACCTGCTCCAGAACATATAATAGGAAGAGGAATTGCTGCACTAGGCCTCTAACAGAAAAAAAGGGGGTAAAAAAGTAGAAGATAAATCATCTGAGGATGCTGGGGATTCAAGTGATTCAAGTGAAGACAGTTTTGACCAAGAAAGAGGAAATAATGATGTATGATACAAGATTAACAAAACAATTGAGTTGGAAAAAGTGGCAGAAATAGAAATATGGTAATAGCATTCAAGATGAAGAAACTCTTGGTCCTAATTATGCAAAAAAACTCTCAATCCTAGGAGTTCAGAGCATGAGAAAAATTGTCTCAATGAAGTAGATGAGAAGATCACTTTTGAAATTTTTGAGAAGAATGCAGTTTGTGAGTTAGAGATATTCAATGATTGCTCTCAGGGTATGAGAGATCCCAACAGCTCCTCTAATACAGTAAGAAGGTTCAGAAATCAGAAAGATCATCAAACTATCAAAGCTTTGAAATTTTTTTCCAGGTTGAATGGACTTTTCAGGCTTAGGCCTAAGTGGAAGGTAAAGAAGCCAAGAGGATCTAGCAAGAGGAACAAAGATATTATGATTTAATTCATAGGGGAAGCTGGTATCTCAGCTTAGATCGGTGACTAGGTTTGGGGGTCCAAATTTGTACTTGGGAGGGCTTAAAGGGTTTTATTGTGCTTTCTGGAGTAATTATCCTTTTGATTTGGGATGCTATGGGTCTTTGGTTTTGAGGGGTTTCTTTTTATTTGTTGAAGTTGGGGGCTTTTCTATGCTCTGTTGAGAATGGTAGGGAATTGGGGCATGGGTTTGCGATTGGGTCCTTCATTGTAGTCTTTGATATGTGTATGGAGGCTTTGTTTTTTGTTTTCTCTCTTGGGTGATCGTTGGTTACCTTCCTTGTATCTTCGTTTTCTTTTTCTCTATAAATTTTATTTTATTACTAAAAAAATGGGAAAAGGGAGAATTAGAGCGATTGACTATTTAACTCTTGCTTTTGTTTTTCTTGTGCTTAAGTTAAATAATTTTTTTTGTTAGTTAGTAGCCTTATTATGATTTTGAACTGCTTAATAACTTTCTTTCCTAATTTTTATGTTTTTCAAGATCTAGAGTCCAAGAGAATAGTTGGCAGTGGCCATAAGGCAAATGGAATATACCTTCTAGGCATGCTACTTGGGAGAAGTTGTCAACAAAATCAGTATTTGGCGTGTAGATCTGTTTCATCTAAGTTTATTGATCAAGTCATGTTTTGGCATTTTTGGTTGGGCTGTCAATTAGCCGAACAATGTAAAAACTCCTTTATTTGTTGTAATAAACTATCTGCATTTTCTTTTGCAAATATTCATTCTGATTTTCGGGGACCTTATCATATACCTGCAATGGGTGGATACTGTTATTTCTTACTATTTGTTGATGCTTATTTTTGTTTTGTTTTGTTTTTTTTTTTTTTGTGGTTGTATTTGATAAGATCTAAAGCTGAAGCATCACACTTATTTCAATGTTCATCAGATGATTCTTACCTAGTTTAATAATCATATCAAAACATTTCATTTTGATAATGCTAAAAAATATTTTGAAAGTAACCTTGCTACCTATCTTTTGGAGTATAGGGTGATTCATCAAACTTCTTGTGCCTATGCCTTCAATAGAATGGTGTTGCTAGGAGGAAGAATAGATACAATCTTGAGGTGGGAAGGAGATTTATGTTTAGAAATAATATGTTTCTTGGGGGTATGCAATTACTACTAGTTTAATTAATTGCATGCTTCCTTGTATTCTTGATATTAAGATTTCTTTTCATTTAGGAAAAATGACTTAAACATACCGAGTTTTCATAAATAGACTTAAACATACCCTAAGTTTTTCAAATAAACTTAAATATACCTTGTGGGTTGACCCACCAGACTTAAACATACTCTCATTTTTTCTCCCCTTTTAAAATTACAATTTTACCCTTTGAAAATGAAAGACTTTTAAAACAATATACTCTATTTCTGCAATTACAACAGCCTTCACAATATATAGCATAAAGGAATGAAGATACATCTCTTAAATCTTTCACATGTAGATGCAGGCAGTTGGTTCAAGATGTAGAAACTAGAGATTTCTATTAAGCTTGCACAGATCAAACTTTGGTATTGTAGAGGAACAAGCATACACAACTGAATCAAATGGGGCTAGTGGTTGACCCGACCATGGCATAGAAGAAGGACAAAAAACATTGGATGGATTTGAATTAAAATAGGGGGCCAGTGGAGGAATGGTGTAGTAGAGTTCAACGTTGAAGGACGTGATGTTTTGGACAAATTAATTTGTTCACCGTGTGAATTAATTAGTACTCAAACGGTGATGTTTTGGACATGATGAATTTTTTGGTTAGTTTTGAAAATTTAAAGAATGAAGGATAAAATAGGTCTTTTATGAGCATAATGTATATTTAAGTCTATTCGAAGAACTCAAGGTATGTTCAAGTCAATTTATGAAAACTCAAGGTATATTTAAATCTTTTACCCATTTATTTATTATATTGTAGTTGGGAGATGTTCTCTGTTCCTCTATGGGTTTTGGATGCATGTGCTATGTTCATGTTCTTGACCCATATCTCAAAATTTCATCCTAAAGCTATTAAATGTGTATTTCTTAATTATGCTTCTACTCAGAAAATTTATTATTGTTTCGATCTTAATGTTGGACAGAAACTTGTGTTTACTGATGTGCCCTTTGTTGAGTTTCTGCCTTACATCTCATATGTTTTTGGGGAGGGTTAATAAGATGTCTTTAATTCTTCTCTGGCTTCTCTACTTGTTCTTTTTCTTTGTGTTTCTATTGATACTCCTAATTTCTTTAATCCTCCGGTTGTGTCCCTAGAAGGAATGGTAGTTGTACAAGGGGTGATAGAAGATTGTTCCCTCTTCAAATGCAGAGGGCTCTCTTCAGCAATTATATTGTTCCCTCTTCAAATCCGGCAGCAAATCATAAGATTTAATCAAAAAATAAGTGCTTAAAATTAGGAAAAGTAGCTCAGAAGAGTAGAAAAAGAAGAAAGAAGGGCTTTATATATTTGATCACTTCTAATTAAAGGTACAATGATAAGATTGCCCTTAAGAGGGTGACTACAATAATAATACTTTCATTTGCTTGGTGGGTAAGACCCATGGCTCATTTACTTTCCTATAACCTTAGGAGATATGGATTTGCATTACATATATGCCCTTTTATAAAGGGATTAGGTGTGATAATTCGTGTTTATGTTGCATCAAATATGAGTCGATACAAATATGACCCGTTCAATTAATTGTATTATATTTTTAAACACGAACACGAACTATTTATTACACAGGTAACATGACATGATACACACAATCTGAATTAACACGATTAACCTATTTAATTCTATAGTAAATGACACATAACCTGAATTAACACAAAATCAATATGATTAGCCTATTTACACAAATGCAACTTATTTATTACATGGGTAATACAACATGACATGTGTAATTTGAATTAACACGATTAACTTGTTTAATTTAAACTAAATTACATGTATAATTCAAATTAACATAAAATCAATATGATTAGCTTTTTAAAATTAAATGATGTTTGGTTTAAATAATATAATACACTCAAGCATCCATTACTTAAGCAAATTCATAAAAAACATGTAGGCCCTGTTCATTTTTCTTTTGGCCATTTACCCAAGTAAATATATATATCGAAAGAATGAGATAATGACCATTATATTTGTGTTCTTGTATTTCCCATGTGAGTGAGATCATGACCATTTTATCCTTAAAAGGACAAAATTAGAAGTGTCCCCTCCCCCTCTAGGTGGAAAAGTTACAAACCTACTTACCCAGTTAGGAGAAAAGTTATTTTTTCATGGGCCCTACATGAATCCCCAAAAAGAACATGAGCATGGGAACTATTTTCCCATTGACCAACCCCCTCTGTTGGTCAACATTTACCAAAAAATGAGCATGCCTTCAATGTCATCCTTACACACCATAATAGTATTCCATTCAAATATACATACATGGTCTAATACTTGAACTTTAGGTCTTAAACAAGTCATTTTGAGTTAAGTGGGTTAACTTGAAATTGACACATTTACTAATCGTGTTAAATGGGTTGACAGTTTTGATCAGTGTTTAGAAAATTGGATCGAATCAGCCGATCAGCCCAGTCGAATCGTAACTTGGGACTTTAGCCAGCTTGGTCATACCCCAATAACTACTTTTGTTAAAAAATTTATGAAAACCGGATGACCAACTAGTTTAAGAAATCAGTGAATTCTGGTTTCATGAGACCACCTAGGCCCTTAATTAATAAAAAATTTAAAATTTGCTTAACAAGATTTGAACCCATGACCTCTTATTTTCATATATTGCTTAATTATCACTAGTCTCGACTTGCGTTAATTGATGATTCTTTATTGTACATATTACTTCATTATACATGTCTTTTAAAGAAAATGTAAATTAAGAGACTTGAACTCAAACCATTTGCTTTAAAAATAAATGAACTTGCCATCAATACATCATATTTAAGTATATTAAAAGTTGTAAAATACAGTGTTTTCAAACCGTCGTTGACTTGAACAGTCAGACTGTTCAGCCCAGGAATCATCTAGGCAACCGGTTCTGTTTCACCCTCAATCCGGTCCTTGGCCAAAAACCATTGATTTAGTCAATGACCCATTGACTCAGGCGATCGAACCATCAACCCATTCGATCTGTTCAATGGTTTTGGCTATTTTTTATTTTAATTATTTTTAGTTTTTCAATTGGAACGGGTCCTTGTTTGAACTGATGGCCAAAACGGTTCCAGTTCTGGGTCAGTTTTTAAAACTTGGTAAAGTATATTAAATTTAATATTTATATTGCTTGTAGTGTATATATGTATATGCTATGTCATCATGGTTCAACCTTGGTTGAATCATTGATTTGTGAACCTCTTCCCTCTCTGGTTGATGTCCCATCCAGTTGTTCGAACATTGATTTTGATAGAATATGATTAAGATAAACCCAAACCTAGTAATTTTGTTTTATATTTAAGTAATATTATATGTCGTATCAAATATTGCTAGCCCTAGAAGGGACTTAGAGAGTGTAGGGATGTAACATTGGGCTTTTTATCACTTCATTTTATATTTTTTGTAGGGGTTAAGAGATTAGGTTAGTACCCTGTAACTATAAATATCAGCTGACTGGTTAGAGGCTACTAGTCCAAGGTTCAAAATATCGATACATCCGATACACTGGTAGGGGCGTATCGGGTGAATCGATACTGTTTTTTTTTTACTTTTTTTCTGAAACCAGTTCAGGGGGGCCGGTTTAGAGCTCCTCCACCCCCTGAACCATTCAGACCCCCGATACACCCACTATAGAGGCGTATTGGAGGGGTCCCAGAATGATACGTATCAGCCGATACGTATCGATACTTTGAACCTTGTACTATCCTTTCTTTATTTATTTCTCTCTTTTATTTTTTCGAGGCTTAAGTCTATCTTTTGCTCAATGCATGTCGTCTTAGTGTCCTTAAATATGGAGGTGCAAGATCAAACCCATATGAGGGTAGGCTCAATATGGTAAGGGCAATGAAGCTAGGGCAGCAAACAAATCAAATCGAATTTGATATAAATATACTGAAATTAAATTTGTGTGTGGATGGATGGGTGTGTGCCCACCAAAATTTGTTGGAAATGGCACCAACTGAGGCTTTCTGCATTTAGGAAACAGAATCTGTTTTGGGCAATGTGGCCACTTAGAATTACAGGAAATGGCAGATTTTTGGGCAAGACGGCCGTTTGTAAGTGTAGGAGCTGGGAAGTGGAATCTGTGTAATGGTTAACACTTTTATCCACTATACGAATAAAAATGACTTTTGATATTGTATTTCATGAACAAAATGAATTGAAAAGTTATTTGAATGATAGTTATGCAAATTTAGAAGAAGGGGTGGACTACATTTAATCTAATTATAATTTGATTCAATTTGGATCACCGTCAAGGGGATCGAATTTTCATTAATCGGATATCATGTGCATCCTACTCTGTCCCCACCCCATAATCCCCTGAAATGTATAATATGTAATATCAAGAAAGGGGAAAATCTATGATATCAGAAAGATATGATACAGAAAGGGCTTTGATCAATCGTAATACCTCGTAAATTTTGATAAAAAAAACCCATCTGATTGGTTATTATTTTTATGATGCTGGTTGATTAGTTGTAAGTTTTCTCAAAATCATGTCTTTTCGGTATCATAATCGAACTCCCAAGAAAAAAAGTATACTTCAAGTAAACCACAGGTAAAGATAAATATTATTTTTGTGACTTCTTTCACTGAAATGTTCTTCAAAGCTCATCTTAAAACAGCCGTTAATAGTGACTGTTGGCTAATAACATATTCCTTATTTCAAACTTTCCGTGTAAACAATAGAAAGTTCTACCACCATAAACAAATTTTCCCTTGTGAACAAAGAAAAAAAATGGAGAAAGAGAAACACCAAGAACGCTCCTTTACGCGGACTGGGCTGGCCCATTCCTCCTATCAGAATCTACAAGTTTCTATTATATGACCCACCTATATTCTACCAAAATGCCTCAAACAATAAGATGGAGATGGAAGCCCAACGGTAATGTCTACTGAGGAATTCTGACGAACATCTTTCGATGTAATATATATGTAACAAAGGAGGTGTCCAGGATACCAAACATAATCAATAGAGACTGGCATTTCAAAGGTAGCTTCTACCCATCTCCCAAATTCCTCCTAACTAAGCCCGAGACAGACCTGGCCTGCAGCTGCAACAGGGTCTAAACTCTTCACAGATGAAAACCAACCATCAGCCGATATTAGACCAGTTCTGAGCTAATTTTAAATGAGAAAAATAAACCCAATTTGGGCCCCACGTTGTACCGAGTCTCAACTGTATATAGGCTGCCCTGAACATAATTGCAAAGGGGTTGGGCTCAGGTGGTATTTTTTGGGTTAACCTGACTGACCCATATTCATATATCTGACCCCTTTGGACCAGAGGATTAGGTCTGATGTCCTTGTCTAACAAACATAAGCGACCATATCTTAAAGCTTGACCAACCCTATTTCCAATTTAAAGACTGCAGCTATTAGAAAATTAGATAGAGATATGGCCCCTCAAGTCAAGAAATGAGGCAAGCACAATGCCCTACACGAAATCAGGATTATAATATGCAAAGTTACTTCCCAAGTGTCACCCATCTGAGCCTTTAACAAGTACTACACTCAATACCGCGTATTTGAATCAATGAATGGAAGCTTCTGAAGGGACTTGACTTGGACCGGATTTCAGTTTTTAATGGCAGAATAGCAGAAGGTGTAAATGAGATCCGTCGATACACATGAAAATGAAGGATTCTTGATATAACTAACCCCTTTTAACTCTTTCTTTATTAGGTGTGGAAGGTGGGGCTTTCACGTTTCACTTCACCTCCCCAGCACAGAGCCTCCTAAGTCCTGATTCCTGAAGAGAACAAATCAATGTCACAAAGTCAAATAAGGAAGCTCAAGTAATGTGCAAATGTTGAAAACCTCCAAACACAGAAGATCTATATATATATAAACACTATCAAAACACCACCACCCAAGGCCAGCCTCCATTAGAAGAAGTGCTTGAGTGACTGGTGGTCGCCATTGTTGGAGTGTTACTGTGTTACCCTCTAAGAGAAACCATCATCCTTCTTAGCTATACATAGAATAGAAGGATTGAAGGAAGTAGTTACTTATTATTATAAATAACCAGATTAATTAACTTCTGGCCTTCTGGGTACGTAGCTAATACTGTATATAGCAATGGCAGACCATCAGAGAGTCCATCCAGTCGATCTCGAAGCCCGGCCGACGGCACCCTTGGTGTCCCGTGAATCATCAAGATCAGAGAAAGGTGAGCCTATTGAACACTACCCTCCTCCGCCTCGCCGCACTTTTCCGGTCAGCCACTCGAAGCCACCCAAGAGAAGTTGTTGTTGCAGGTGCCTGTGTTGGACAATAAGTCTCCTTATACTTCAGGTGATTGTGGTCGCCATTGCTGGAGCCATTCTTTACCTTGTCTTCCAACCCAAGCTCCCAAAATACTCGGTCGACCGCCTGCTAATAACGAGCTTCCAACCCAATAGCGATGGAAGCCTCTACGCCCAATTCAATGTTACAATTACAGCCAGGAACCCAAACAAGAAAATTGGGATTTACTACGAGGATGGGAGCCAGTTGAGTGTGTATTACACAGACACTAAGCTCTGTGAAGGGTCTCTACCCAAATTCTACCAGGGTCACCAGAACACGACTGTCCTGAACGTGGCCTTGACAGGTCAGGTCCAAGATGGAAATGCATTGATGTCAACGTTGACAGCACAACAACAGACTGGTAGCATACCTTTGAGGCTCAGAGCCAGGGTGCCAGTGAAAGTGAAGCTTGGGAAATTGAAGCTGAAGAAGGTGAAGTTCTTGGTCAGATGCAATTTGGTGGTGGATAGTCTAGCTGCCAATGGTTTTATCAGAATAAGAACTAGTAGCTGTAAGTTTAGGTTCAGGCTTTAATTTCTTATTAGTTGTTTACTTGTCTCTTTTATGGCTTTTATTGCAGTTTGTTTTTTCTTTTTCTTTTTCATCCTCTTGGATTATTAGAATTATATTGGTTGATTTATTTTCTTTCCCTAAGAGAAGTGGAGCCTTTATTTGTTTCCACTCCATTTGTATTTATTTGGATTCATTTTCTTGGGATCGATATATTTAGGTTCATCAGAGACAGATCAGGATTTTTATGAAAATAAATATATGTTTGTGAGGTAGCATAGATTATACTAAATAAGGTGGAAAAATTACCATTAGCTGCCTTGTTATAGAGCTCTTTCCTCTCTCCTCGCTCTAAATTTCATCATCATCATCCAATCCTTATACCTGCTATATGGGGTTAGCTACACGAATCCCATTCTGCCATTCTGCTTTGTTTAAATTATTTGTGGTTAAATCATTTCTTGTCTGTTTTAGTCAACCCCTACCTCTCAGAATTTGTTGATTATTATATATTTCTATCATTAAGTTTTCAGTGAGCAGGAATTGCAAGGAAAAGACTAAAATTATATCCATTTTATCTTATTGTTTCAATTATAACCGGTGAGAACAACACTTGGGGTGTCAAAGTCTAACACCTTGGTTGCCACTGCAAGGCATTTCCTGGTAATTTTCCATGTTTCGATCTTCGATTGGAGCGATTAATTGACCGTGACCATGTGAATGTGATTCGAGCGACTTTCATGGTGAGTAGGTGACCTCCATGGTGGCGTAAGATTAAATGGCAGTGTGTGAATTTAATTTGTAAGTCAAATTGTAGGCATCTGTGCTCTCTCTCTCTCTCTCTGTAAATAGAATGACTCAAAAGGGTTCGCATATTTATACACAACTCAGAGAAAATAGAAGGCCAAGAGCCCAACCAAAGACCCCCAACTGGCCACGAAGGACCAGCTAGATGGTGAGGGGGATGGGGAGTGGATTTCTTATCCCACCCGACCCCAATTATATATTAAATATTAATAATATACACATATATGATATTATTTGTATTATTTATGATATTGTAATTTATATTCAAGGGCAGAGGTAAGATTTTCTCTCCAGGGAGCTAAAAAGTAGTAAACCTAGATTAGGGACCGGGGGCGGGGCGCAAAAGTTAGTAAACATGGGTAAGGAGATCAAAATATAAGTGAAGTTGAAATGGGTATTGTGGGGATTTTCAAGGGGTAGGGACTGCCACCCCTTGGCTCTGCCTTTGTTTATATCAAAATATATTTAAAATATTTTTCTATTTTAAAAATTCTTTTTATTTTAAATAAATTTGTTTTTTAAAATAATTTAAATTTAAAAATTTTGAAGATTTGGGTCCCAACAGGAACCCGTCTCCATTGGGGATTGAGGATGGAGGGTCCTTTCACAAAACTGCCATCAACCCTAACATCCCATCACTAGAATGCAAAAAGGCCCCCAAAAACTAGTAGTCACAGTATTCAAACAGCTTGTTGGATATATCATTTTATCTGATAATTATATAATTAGCATTTTTAATAGGGTTCAGCTATGGTGCAAAAAAGACATGATACTGGAGAAAATTATAATAAATCAACCAGCATCATAAAAGTGGCAACCAATCAAGTGAATTTCTATCAAAACTCATGGGGGTTTTTGATTGGTCAAAACCTTTCTAGTATCATGTCTTTCGGGCATCATATACAAAACCTATATGTATGTAATTATAAATGCAAAAAGTAGTACATTCATAGAGCGTTCCTCACATCGGCATCACACCATGCCTTGGCCACACATCATGAACATCTCCCGTACTTGTATTTATTATTTATTATTCATGGGGAGATGTTTCCAATATAAGGTGGGATGTGGCTGTGAGGTTGGTGTGAGGAGCGCACTGTGAGGAGCAGAATTGAATTCACCTCAACATACATGGATATAGGTACTATTAAAAATATTCTTAAAAACAAAATACCATATATTGTAATTTGTGACATAACCCCGCTGACCAGGTCAAATGAATCAATGGTTCAAATTCAAACTGTTTGAGTCATAGATTACTGATCAAATCAACAGTTTTTTAGGTAGTGGTGGGCTTAGAATTGATCCAAACCAAAATCTATGACTGGTTATGAGTAGAATGGTACAATCGGCTGGGTCAATAATAGGTTTAAAACAATGATTTCTCCGTAGGTCTCTGCTTTAATTTTTAAAATACAAAAAAAAAAGTTAATTGCTTTTCAACTTATTTATATATATATATATATAATAAATAATAAGAATATAACATATTAAATTCATTATATATATTTATAAATAATATATGAAATATACTTTTTGTAATTTTAAATATAATTACATAAGATTTATATATTAAAAACAATAAATATAATAATATAATCATATTTGGGTTTTAATTGAATCGAATGGGATTAAATCCAAATTATTGTGAGGTGCCCTGTGGCCTCAGTCCGTGAACAAATTTCCAGTCACAAAACTGAAAGATCTAAATTATTGATAAAACGGTTACAGCAATCTTCTGGTTAATTGTGAGGTGTCTGGATCACGATCAGTTAACTCTCAATGACATATAAGAAAGTATGAAACAAGATTCGCCCGGCTGTGGATACCCATTTTGGACACGAAGTTGGTTGGTCAAGTAGAGAATATTTTCAATTGGATTAGATCTGGATCATGGGCAGGTTTCGTTGAATGTGAAACATTGGATAGGTCAAACAGTTAATAGGGGTGGTGTCTTTTTGGAAGATTTTCTGGTAGTTCCGACAGTTAAAAGATGCATTGAGCTTTTGCATTAAGATTTGAGCAGTCTTTTTGTATGTCTTTTCATACGAAGAATAGAAAAAAACTCCATTTGAAGCTTCCCAAAAATCACTCAATTTAGGTTTTTCTCATCTTTTCAGCAATATCAAATTTTGACAATTAGATATCTCACAAACCAAACAGAAAAAGATCAAATCACAATCTACCAGGTTTATAAATAGTCGACAGACCACAAGAAGGGTTCATATGCTACAATTCCATCCCACATGAAAAAACCAAAAAGACTTGTTCTTGAGGATATATTGAGGAACAGTGTCAAAATAGGCACTTTGTTTTTTTTTTTTTTTGTTTTTTACTTTTAATATTACGGTTGGATTGTTTCATTGCGATCTGGGTGATCACGGTTGAAAACAATCTAGGGTAAGGCTGCGTACATCTACCCTCCCCAAACCTTGCATTGGCGGGAATCTAGTGCACTGGGCTGTCCAATGACCACCCGTATTAAATATAGAGCCACTATTTTATTACTGTTTGACCAATTTTATTCGACACCCATTATTTATATTATAATTTTGCTTAATTTTTTGATATTGTTATTTTTACATTAAAATATTTTATTTAATTTAAGAGATCAAATCAAGTTTTATTTATAAAGATCATGGGTCACATATGATTTGAAATTAGTTTTCTTTAATTATTATTCTCAAAGTTCCTAATCATTTCTGAGAGTGGATAAATATGCATCCAAATAAAAAAACATTTATTTAAGAGTGAAAAGAGTCACCTTTTGTATACTTTTCCTAGTCTTACTTCTTTCAAATAAAAGCCTTATAATTCAAGGGCTTTCCTTTAATATATATATATATATATAGAGGGGGGGCATGGCAACCATTTCAGCTTTGGTCATTGATAATTATATACTACCACGGGTAGTGAGACTTAACCCTCAAATTTTCATTTGTAACACAGACCCACCTTATACTTTCCAACAATGTTTTCAAACTGCTATGGACCTGGATGGTCGGACTGTTTAGCTTGGGAATCATTCAGGCAACTAGTTTTGTTTTACCCCAAATTTGATTCTGACAAAAAATTGTTGAACTGGTAACTGGTCAGCAATTTGCTGACCCAGGCGGTCAAACCATCAAACTGTTCGATCTGTTTAACAATTTTGGTCATTTTTTATTTTAATTTTTTTGTTGGAATGGGCCATTCATTCGAACCGAATAATTAAACTATCGACCCAAAAACCAATGGCCAAAATGGTTCTAGTTTCGAGTCGGTTTTTAAAATGTCCATTTGAAAGTTCACTGGGCTGAGAGAAGAAAATATGAAATAATAAAAACAAACATGTCAAAGCTTAGTTTCTCTTGTTGTACTTTTAGTTGCTTTGTAATTTTTAGTGTATTCTATAATTTCATGTTTTTCTGTATTTTCCTCTTGCTGTACTTTCTGTAACTTTCTATTATATTTTGTTGTATTTCCTGTATTATTTGCAATTTCCTACTTTTCCTTTATTTTCCATTTTCTAATTTTCTGCAAAACGATCGCATAAATGATATAAGAACAGTTTAGAAATATTTAAACACAAACATGATAGTTACGTGAAAATCATTTTTGAAATTAACTTACTGAATGCTACCCCTGAAGTACTGGGGCAAACATCATCTTAGCCCATTCCTGCCCAATCTTGGCAAGAATGAGTCAAAAATAGGTTCCCAAATGTGAACCAAACGGACTCTTATTATCATAACCAGCTCCAAAATTGAAATGAAATTAGATGTTAATGTATTTATAAGAAAGCCCACCACATCTAAAAATTATGAAAATCTCTTCCAACAACATGGCCTTTTTCCCTACCAAAATTAAGGTGCAACTTGGGCGGGCCCAGCATTAGACCTGTTCATGGGCCGGGTAGCCCAATGGCCCGGCCCGCACCCCGGTCGGGTTTGGGCATGTAATTAGGCCCGGGGGCTGACCTCGGGCCTAAAACAATAAGCTCGACTGTGATTCGGGCTAGATTCGGGATTTGTCAAGAAAGCTCAGCCCAAGCCCAGCCCGGCTCAATATTACATGAGCCCGCGGGACTGTCACATTTTAAAGTTCAAGAACCAAAGTAACACTAGCCCAAAGTACATTTTACTAATCTAAAATTTTCCCTAATTAATATATTTCAAAATGTTCATTTTCTTTTTCACTTGATGAAATTATAATGGAGAGTATGATGACACTGGAAACTTAGAACTCTACATTTATAAAAGCAACTAATGTAATATTTATAATTTTAACATAAATAACATTACACCCCTATTTTGTTTAAAATATATATGACAAAAAATGGTTGAGGAAAATGCTTGTGTTTTTCCCTTGTATAGACTGTTTTGTTTTTTCTTTGTTAATAATTTGTTGGGCGTAATTAAATTGGATTGGACCATATTTGTATATCAACACCCTTAATAAATTCAAATTCGGATTAATCTTTGTAAGATCTGCCAGATCATCAAATTGGATCATATATAAGATTTATATTATTGGATTGGATTCGGATATACCCTGATTTAAATCTGATCTTCTGCATCCTTAGGTTTGCCTTGGATTGGCACTTAACCCCATATAACCCATTTAATTTATACCAATGTTTTGTTAGAGAGTTAAAAGGGGCTCAAAGATATATTTAAAAGAAAATAAGGGATTTAATAGGAGTGGGGGGATGTTATAAATATTGACTATTAAAGAGGGAGATGGTGAATTAAGAATGATTTTATTAGAGAAGAGTAATTATAGATTTTAATAGAGAAAATTAAGACATAAGAGGGATTTTATGAGATATGCTTATTTGCTAAGATTTATGAAACTTTATAATAGGAGATTATGATGCTATTTTCAATTTTTTTTATCATTATATAGTAAGTTCTCTACTTTTAATTTTTCACGTGTGAAGGTGAGATATCTGTGTGATGTTGTGGATAGTTTTAAAATTTCGCAATGTACGACTGATACGTACCAAGAGGGTCTTGATACATGGAACGTATACAATTAGATAGTTTCGAGTTTTCTTGTTTGTATCGGACCGATATGGGTCCATATCGGCCTGGTATCATACCATTTCAGGTATGTATTGGCCGATATAATCTTAAAAAAGATCGATACACATTATGCCATACCTTAATTGCTTGTCTTAATAATATGTATTTTAACTCTTAGATAATCTTTCTTCTTTTGTGGATGTTTCTCAATAAATGTTAAAATTTGATTGTTAAAATTTATACAATAATAAATATTAATACAAATTATATTTATTTACTAAAAGTTAAGATACATATTATACAATAAATATTATCTAAATCTATATATAATAAATATTAGTATATATACACATATAATTTGGTTTTATTATTTTTCAATCGTTACCATTATGTCCCAATACTTTATCTAAACCATTTAAGTGTGATTTTTATGTTTAAATAAATTAGGTATAATCATATAAAACTTATTTTTATTGTTATTATTATGTTTATCTAAGGATTTTTGTTTTTTTGATTTTCTAGAATATTCATGCATATTTTGATTTTTCGTCGATTTTTATATGTATCCAAAGTGTATCCTAATATATCTCTTAAAATCACCCCTAAATTCCTAAACTAGGTTTTGATTGGTCAAAGATATTTTTCAGCATCATAGATTTAAATTGGATCATTTACTAAAACATCCTTATAGTTTTATTGATTTACTAAAACCTACTCTATAATTTGCATTTTACTAAAGCACCCCTTACAATTTGCAATCATTTACTTAATCAACCTTGCATTAAATGATAATAGAAAATGACAGTTTTGACCATGATGTTCATTTGAATAACTTTAATCAAAAGAAAATAAAATAAAAATATCTTTTTTGCCCTTAATAAAACATAAGCAACTACTCAATTTGGTCAACTTTTTTTTACAAAGAAGTATTAAGAGTAATTTTATTTTTTGCCTTTGAACTTTCCCATTCAGTTTAGTTTATGTGATCATGTTATTATTTTCAAATATTTCTTAGACCCCGTTCACTTTTTCCTAAGCTACTTATCTAGGTAAGTGTTTTCAAGAAAGATTTACTCGGGTAAGTGCATTTACCCATGTTCTTTTATTTCTAATGTAAATAAGGCAATGACCATTTTACTCATAAAAATCCATTATTAAAAGGGGCATTTTTGTCCTATTTAAGTACCGGCAACCTTCTCTCCATGTGGGAAAGTTATTTATCAACTTAAGAAATAGACATCGTTTATTCGGGAATGTCCAAAAAAAATAAACTTTTCCTAATCCTCATATAAATCTAAAAAAAATATGAATTTCTTAATCAATGAAAATCAAAATAAACTATAGAGTGTGTTTTAGACTTCCAGCAGACATTATAGGCAATTAGGTGACATGTGTAGCTTCTAGAGACATCCAGAGAGAAGCAGTAGTGGCACCCCCTTGGTCATAGACATGCGGAGAATACAAACTGAAAAAACCCTGAGACAGAGAGGGTGAGCGTCCGGATTGGGAGCTTCTGAGAGATTCTGTCGTTCAATTTCTGTAGAATTTAGCGATAGTTCTGTTACTATAAAATATATAGAGACTTCAGACTTGTTCATTCTTTCTTTGTGGAGTAATGACGGCGGGGAACTGGTTTGTTCGAGGTAAAGTTTTAACCATTTCAGTTGTGATTCCCAGATGTTAAACATGGTGGGGTTTCAGCCGATGAAGATGAAGCGGAAGGACTTCGAAGAAGCTTATGATGAATTCTCCGATTTTTCTCTATCTTCCCCCGCCAGAAAGATCAGAAGACTGGTATGAGTTTCATTTCATCTTTCTTTTTCCATTGAATAATTTCTTATTTCCACTGAAATCTTCGTTGAATTCTTGGAATTTGTCTCTCAAAATCCTTTACTTTCACTCTTGTTTAATTGTATAAATGGTGATTGTGATCACACATTCAACACTTAATCGAGATGTCTTGAGTGATTGCTGGGAATTCTTAGTTTTCATTGGGAGCTCATTTAAAGGTCAGTGTTCTGTTTTGGGTTTTTAAGGATGCGGATTTGCCACCAATCATGGGAGAAGAAGAGGCCCTCAAAATCTCTCTGGATTTTGAACAACAGCCATTGTCGGAACATCTCGATACCAGTAAACAGCAATCAGGAGCTGTAATGAAAGAGGCAGTGCTGTCTGCTCATCTGAATGAAGAGAAGGCTTTAGTACTTTATAATCCAGCGAATACACCATTATTGAAAGTTCCAAGTTCGTCGGACTTATCAATCACAGTCAATTCGGACTTGATTCTCAGTCTGAAGAGTAAGTATCAAAGCCCACACCCATTTTATGTATTTCCTTTCCTTTCTTTTCTTTTTTGCATGTTCAGTCTGTGATAAGATTAATCGGATGAGATTGAGATGTTCACACTGTTTTGAATTTAAATTCTCAAATTAACAACTGCATAATTCCTAGAATGCACCCAATGCAATGCAGAGTTTACATTCCGCTTTGCTATCGATATATTGTTACTTGATTGGTATTTTCAGGTTGAAATTTGTAAATTGTCCAAGTTTACATACAATCATGTGGAAACAGAATCTTCTAATTCTCAAGGAAAAAAGAATTGACTGTTGGGCTTGATTATGTTGTGACTGAGAAAATCAATAAAACTTGATTTGCTAAATCCATCACTGTTTTCCTTTAACTGGCATTGAAGTACTTGAAGTTTCAATTTCAAATGGTTAAAGAACAGAGGATTTCTCTTCTTGATTTACTTTCTGTTTGATTATTCAAATGAGTGTGATGATGTTGATGCATTATGAAGATAGTTGACCTGCAAATTTTGCACAATTTTGAACCCTGATATTAACCCATCTGGGGCCATTATCAGACGGCTGCAATGGCCGAGCTGATAACTTAATACTTTTATCTTTTAGCGCATAAAATATCAGTGGAAATGGTAATCAACCCAACTTCAGTTTCGGCTGTTAAGGAGATCACAAGTTGCATCTTCCTTAGTAACTTCAGGGTAAAAAAAATGTCATTCGGTTTGGCTACTTAAGCTGTTAGAAAACGGCCCCAGAATTCTGGATTGATTAACTTAAAGGATTTATCTTTGGAACAGATTCTATGCGCAGAAATTGCTGAAATGCATCCAACTGTTCCGTTCACCTATGCAAGCTCATTGTTGACCATCTACATACTAACTTGTGGTAACTCTCTTCTCTTCCATGCATGTAGATCACATGTTATGGTCAACTCATACAAAACCAGTAAGAACAGCAGATGATGTAGCAGCATCTTCAGACAAAAACAGAGCGGTGGCAAATGATAGCTTAGCTGTTGTTTCGTGGGTTCCATCTCAGCTTCCTCCATATGATGCTGGAATGACGGAGGTACCAGCAGCAGAAGCGCTAGAGCCAATGGAGGCTGAATTAAATGGTATGATGATGGAAACTGAAGGCGAGATCCCAGGACAAGCACGGAGAGCTGGTGCAATGGTGGGGGTTGAACTTCAAGCCTTACAGCAGTGGCAGCAAGAGCATTGTATGATTCCAGAGCTTCCCCAAAACACATCAGCTCCTGTCATGTGGTCGTGGTAATAGTTTTGTATGTAGTGAGCTGATAGACTCACATCATGTTTTGTTGTTCTTTTTTTAAACCTTCATTGATCTCACCCCCTTTTATGGAGCTGAACAGAACCAAGAGGAATGTGTGAGATTGGGGCCTATTAACTTGTTGATTGGGCTGTTCTTCTTCTTCTTCTTCTTTTGGGTTATTAGCTTGTTGTACAAAGAAAGTAGATGCAAGAATATTTACCTTGAATGAACTCAGTCATTTGAAAGTCTTTCAATGCTTGAACATGCATTCAGGTCATTCTCTAATCTTTAATATATTATCAGCACTACTAAAAAAAGTTAATTACCAAGGTGGTGTTTGAAACAAATTTGAATTTGAATGAGAGATGGAACTGAGTCAAGTTTCAGCTATATCTGTAATACCAAATTTAAACCTTAAGCCCAGCCTTTTTGGCCCAGAAACCTGGCCCAGCCCATGATACCCCTAATCTCCATGAGTTGAAGAACAGGAGCTCGAGAATCCTATAAAAGTCTGGATTAGTTCTAGTTTTAACTTTTGAATTTGCTAATAATTTTAATAGCATTAGAATAGCGAGGTACGAATTTCATGGTTTGAATCACTAGGTAAGTGGGTAATGCTATTACGCCAACATTATGTTTGGTTTGAAGGACAAGATAGGGAAAGGAAGGGAAAAGTACAGGGAAAAGCACAAAGTTTGTAAAGGTTTTCCTATCTTTCCCTTCCTTTCTCTTACTTTTTCCTTCAAACCAAACAGCAAGGGAAATTATTTATTCTCTAATTCAATTGAACCCAAAGAGTAATACAAAATAAAAAATAAAATAAAAATTACAGAAAATACAAAAAAATTGTAAAAAGGAGGTTTTAACTGTTCAGTCCACCCTTAGAAATCTTAGCTCCACTCTAGGGGTAGAATGAATCTTGACTGTGGATTGATGCCAAATCCACGGGCAGGATGTGGTTTATAGAGAGATTAGGAGGTGGCTGCAATTTCAGATTTCTGAGGGGGAGTACAGTCTATTTATCTCAAAAAATATTGGGTCTAATATTATATATTTCACCATATTGATAATTAATCAAAGTAGGGATTCCTTTTTAACAAATAAGTCCGCTTTGAGAAAGATAAAACCACGGCATAACCTCCACAAAGCTCAGATCAGTCTCTTGTTGTATATCTTTGACATATAGACTGTAGAGGAGGACCAATTGGAATTGGTACTCTATCACTACCCTCTATCTAGGGGGGTCATCCTAAACTTCAGAATTTAAATCTGCAGGCAGAACTTGGACCCCTATTGAAGGAAATAAATAGATTATTCTCTCGCTAAGGCTCTCCAAAGGTGTGAGACAGATCTAGTAATTTTCCTTGGAACTTTGTCATTATTACTTATAAGCAAGGTTTTTAAAATCGAACCGGACAACGAACAGGTCAGGGGTTTGGTTCCTAGGTCAAACGGTTCGACCTTTTTGAATCGAATGAATGGCTCATTCTAACAAAAATAAAAAAAAATTAAAAAATAAAAAGCGGTCAAAATTATTGAACGATTCAAACATTTGGGTTAACAATTTGTTGATCAAATCAATGTTTTTTTGACAAAAATCCGATTTTGGGAAAAACGGAACTGATCACCTGACTGGTGGTTCCTGGTTTTTCGGTCCAGTCCGGTTTTGAAAACCATGGTTATAAGATATTTCCCCCATAAGTCCTCAACATCTTCACCCATAAACAATTTTTCTCAGGAAAAGCTAATTTACGGATCAAAGCTTTATTAACAAGGTAATTCTTAAAGCCTAATCCACCTTAATTCTTTGGGGAATACAATTTATCCCAGTTAACTCACTTCGTATGATTATGGTTGAATCTTTTCCCGCCATCTCCTTCAGAGTTTTTTTTTTAGAAATTGCACCACACTCATGCAATAAACTAGTATAGATTGCAAAATAGATTGAATTAAGATTTATCTCCCAGCATAAGTGATGAAAGCATTACACTTATTAAGCTTACCTTTTAATTTTTGCAAAATGAGTTCCAATGATTTAGCCTTATACTTCCTCCATGGTAGAGCTACCCTAGATGTTTACAACCCTTACTCAATTGAGACATTTTCAATTGATTTCTGAGCATTTTAGCTTCCCTAAAGGGGAGTGTTTTGACAAAAACTAACTCCAAATTTTTTGAAAATTAATGGACAGTCCTAACAACTCTTTAAAGTTTAGAATATCTACAGTGTATTTTCCTATATATATTTGGGGCATTCCTATATATTTGAATTCCCATCAATGTATTTTCTTCTTTTGTTTTCATAATCACTATAGTAAATTGTTCCATGGCCAGAACAAAAGGAAAAAGAGATATAGGATTTTCTTGCCTGAGACCTCTTGAGGCTTCAAAATATCCTTTAGGAGTTCCATAATCAAAACAGGTAACTTTATAATTGATATTCATGACCAAATCAACTAACACCATTCTTCAAAGAAACCAAAAGATCCTAGGACCAAGATTAAATAATTCAGTTCTAAGAATTATAAGCTTTTGATATACCAAGTTTAATCACCATTAATCCTCCTCTAGATTTTTATTATTTTCATATAATAAATCATTTTTTGGGGTATCACAACATTATCATACAAAAAAAAAAAACGCTTGAAATGGTGAATACATTTAAAGGTTTCAATCGGTTGGCTAATAATTTTGTAACAATTTTATACAGTACATGAAACAAACTAATTGGCTGATAATGTTTAACTAAATGGGGTTTAGAATGTTTGGGGATTAAGGTAATTAAAGTATGATTCACTCGTCTTACAAATTTTGTTATTCATGAAGAATTCATAGACAAACTCATATATGTCTTTCCTCATTTGTTTTCGAAACATTTGATAGACAGTAGCAGGAATTCCATCTAATCCTAAGGCAATTTGAAGGAAAAGGTAGGGAAACCTATACAAAGTTTGTAAAGGTTTCCTTACCTTTCAATCATGGTTTTCAAACTGTTGTTGATCTGGATGGTTGGACCATTCACCCTACAAACCATTCAAGCAATTGGTTCCATTTCACCTTGGAAACTGGAATTTTTCCAAAAACTATTGAATTAGTCAGAGACCCACTGACCTGAGCGGTCGAACCATTGACCCGTTCAACTCGAGCTGTGGGGTTTGGCCATTTTGTTTTAATTATTATTATTATTATTATTTATTTTTTATTTACTTATTTCTTTTGAATTGCAATGGGCCATCCATTGGATCAGACAATTGAACCACTGACCAAAAAATTCGTGGCCAAAGTGGTTTTAATTCTGAGTCGATTTTTAAAACATTGGCTTCAAGGTTAAACATATTAACTATTCCCATGGTTTTCAAAACTGGATTGGACCAGACAGTCGGACCAATTCCATTTTATCCTAGAACCGTTATTTCGCCAAAAATCGTTAATTTGGTCAGTAAACCACTGATTCGAATGTTCAAACCGTTTGAACCATCCAATGATTTTAGCCGTTTTTTATTTTTTATCAGAATAAACCATCTATTCGGTTCAAATGATCGGACCGTTTGACCCTAGACCCTGACTGGTTCATTGTCCAATTCGATTTTAAAAACCTTGACTATTACTTTAAATGGTTCTATTCTAGTATTCTTTGGTTTTGGAATATAGCTTTAGAAGAGTCGATTTTGTTATTTCCTAATGATCTAATGATCAGATACCCAATATTTTTTGGTCTCTCATGATGAGACACCCATTCACCTTTTTTTCTTTTCATCTAGAAATATTATTACTTTTTCTCATAAATTAGTTGTTTGGTTGGTTTGGCCAATTGAATCGGTTAAACTGTAACCTAGGACTTTGGTTGGTTTGGTCATACCCCAATAACCATACTTGATAAAAAATCTGTGAAAACTGGTTGATTGGCTAGTTTAACCAAAAAACCAATGAACCAATCCTGATTTTGTGAAATCACTTGGGTTTTTAACGATTAAAATTTTAAAATGTATTTAGTAAGACTAAACCCATGACCTCTAATTTCTATAGATTACTTAATTACCATTAGTCCATTTCTTTACTTATATTAATTAATTACTTTTTATTGTATATATTACTTTATTATACACGTATTTTAAAAAAATGTAAAGTAAATAACTTTTTTATGCATGTAAATTATGAAACTTGAACCTTAATCATTTACTTTAAAAATTAAGGAAATTGCTATCTAACTACCATATTTAAATATATTATAAATTATTATATATATATATATATTAAAAAAAACGAACCGGTCAGGGGTCCGGTTTGAACGGTCTGACTGTTCGACCCGAATGGTCGGCCCATTTTGACAAAAAAATAAAAAAATTAAAAAACAAAAAAATAGTCAAAAATGTTTGAACGGTTAACCAGTCGATTCAGCGGTTTACTGACCAAAATCAACGATTTTGGGGGAAAAGCGGTTTTGGAGGAAAACGGAACCGGTCAGGTCCTTTTTCCGGTCCGGTCCGGTTTTTGAAAACAGTATATATATATATATATATATTTCGACCCTAATTAAGTAATTATTGAACCTTTGACACGTGAACTTCTCCCCTTATCCGGTTCTATGCCCTGTCCGGTTTTCTGAACACTGGTTTAAAGAGAAAAAACAGATGGGCCAAGACAATTTAATCGTAAGAAAAATGCGAACTGGTTTACAAAACGGTCTAACTTCATCGGAGCCAAAGCGAACCAGAAGAATAGCAGGTTGAGCTGACACAATCTCTGAACCTTATACCGTTGTACGTCCAAACACACACACATTGGCGCTGGTGAAGAGCCATGACGGATTGGGCTTTCGCACATAGAGTTTGGGAGAAATGGGCATCTAATAACGTGGGTTCATCTGGTGAGAAACTTCGAGCTTCAGAAATGCCCTGTTGCTATCTTTACGTGGACAAACAAGAGAGAGCTGAACAGCTTCAAAATTTGCAGGTGAACCACTGAAAGCAGCTTTGCTAATTAACTATGACCCAACTGGGCCTTCGCGCCTGCTGTCCGTCATGTAAGACAAACCAAAATTCTCTCCTTTTCTTCATTACAGATGCACATGTTTTTGTGATCTTAATTCCAATCACTCCATCTCTTAGGATGTCTTTTCGTGAAGTTGTAAATAAATAACGAAGAATTTTTAGAATGAATGATCTTTATATTGATTGTTCTTGGAATGGTTTTCCGGTTTGGACCAGGCTGCCTAAGAAAATGGCATTTCACTTGTGTGCCACTGGATTTTACTGAAGAATTTAGTTAAGCCCAATAGTTGTTTGTTAAATGTCCACAGTGAACTCTAGGCAAACATTTTAGTTGTTTTTCTTTTCACAGTTAATGTTTAACCAGGTTAGGACGTTGATTTCGGTACCCCATGAATTGTATTGTTCGAATTGAGCTTATCAGTGAATATAGCGAACACAGGGGGCAGCTAAAGCAGTGAGATGCAAGAGCATAGTAAGTGTGGCTTAATCTTGTATTGATTGCATTAATATCCCCTTAGGGGGTGAGCTCTGTCTACCCTCTGCTTCACCTGTTGCCCCCTACGCAAAATGGGGTATTAATCAAAGAATGCCATGTGTTCTTGAAGAAAATGGAAATGTATAAACAGTTTGATGTCCAAAATAAATTTTATTGTCCCATCATAATTTATAAAATATCCGACACTGATGCGAGGCTTCTCTATATGATTTCCTTAGTGAAATATCATTTTCCATTTCTTGTTTTTTGTTTTCTAGCTCCCAAGTCCCATCTACTTCAAATATACTTTTTTAGTTTCTTATTTTTTTTTATGTTTTCATTTTATTATTTGAAATACCTTGTTTTTCATGTCAGGAATAATTGCAACTTTCAGTCATCATCTTCATTTTATATAGAGAGAGCTTTGGTAGGTCTTTCATAAAATTCAGCAACCTATGAGATAGATTGTTAAATCCTACAACCAATATATGATTTTCTTCTTTTTTTTCCTGCTTAAAAACAGCAGGAAGCATTAGTGTGGAGTTGGGACACATGAAGAATAGAATCAAGAGATAGGCCACCACTTAAGCTCGCCTACACTAGATGTCGCATTATCAGATCCATCAACCATGTTGATCCTATCTCTACCAGAACATAATCTATAGGAATTAGGAAGTAAACTAGGTGGACATATTGGTCATAATCTACTGGGAAGAAAGGGAATTCTCATAACCAAGGAATAATAACTAAGGCATGACATGTGAGTGTATTACCTAATCTTTCAAAAGCAGTGGAAGGAACACTAGGGACCTCAAGCTAGATCTTCTGTTGCTGTCAAGCTGAATTAGAAGATTGTAAAGCTTCTCTAGAACTTCTGTTTTATCAGGTCCATTGGGATTTGATAACCCGCCTAAAGATGGCTTCGTATCTAAAGAGGTAGCAATATGAGCATTTCCTTTTCCTGGTCTTGAACCATTTTGGCCTTAAATTGGGATGCAATTTCCAACACTTATCTCTGGTGTTCTTAGGCTTCTTACAATAGTCACATACCTCTTTTTTTTTTCTTTTTAGTAGGACTAGTCCTTCCACACTTCCCTACTTACATCTAGTAGGATTAGTTCTCTCTCTCTCTCTCTCTTTCTCCTATTACAAGAAAGAAGCCATTCTCTAAATTTTGCTTGATGTCTGTAAATGGGTTGGGCTAGGACTTAGGTTTCAAAAGAGGCCTTAGCAAAGGGTGGGTATGTGCCACTGTGATTAAACTAGTTCCAAAGCTCAGACTAGTCTAACTGGATCAATACCTGTGATATTGGTCCTTTGTATCCTTTGTCAAGCAAGTGGTGAATCTACATCCCATTTATTAATTTCATGTTCTTTTGTAAAATGCATTTGGGTGTGGTTTTTTTCTCTCTTTGGTTGTTGGTGGGATCCTCCCTTGAAGTAGCATGCCTTTTCAGCCCTAGATTCCTTAGACAGCCCAAAAAGAGAGAGAATCATGTGGAGAGCCTCTAGATCTGTGATCTTGTGGTCTTATCTATTTGGGAGAGGGGGGATATCGGAGATATTCTATGTGTCCATGAAAACACATTTGCAATTAAAGGAAGATCAATGTTGCCCAAAATTTGACCATGAACTGGCTCATCTTCTGAACAACAAGGATAGAGAGAAAGTATGCAACATCAAACTGCTCTTTCTGCTGTTAATAAATCCTCACATATGGATTTAGTGGATGGTAAATATTGAGTAAAATACTTACTGGCATAATAGTCTTCTATGCTCTTATCACTCTATAGGAGCTAAAATTACTCCTGGAACAATTGATATACTCAAGTAATGTTGTCCTTGCCTGAATACAATCTCTGTGCATGTTCCTCGATTTCTTCAGCAATGTCTAGGAACATAAATTGGCACTACTCTTCGTCTCCATGCTACTCCAAATCCGTGTCATGATTTGTTCATTTTCTTGCACTCACTCATCATATACAAGAGTGCCAACCAGTTACTTCTCATCCTTCAAGTACTTGAGCTTCCTTTAGCTGTAAGAAAGACCTCCACAGACTTTGCCAACTAAATGTAATTCTCCCCATTCAATTTAATGGAAGCCATCTGTACTGAAAAGTAGTCAAGAGGGACAATTATTCCCAATTTAATCTCATTAGTACCATTCCCAAATGCTACCATGATATTTCTTGATCACACAAACCACAAGGACTCTACTAAAAACAGTTTCCAGCCACTTTGATAGAGAGAATATGCCACAACTGAAACAAAACCCTCATTTCATCTTTACTTCCTTCACAGCATAAACAGTCCAGCTTTCACCCATTTTAGTTGTACCATGACAGGAAAACCATCAATTAGAGCACTTTATTGGAGCAACTCACTACAATCACTTCTCCTATAATCCACCAACACATAACAGAACTTGCCATGCTAACATTTCTCTTTGAACTTTCAAGTAGAGGATCTAAATCACCACCCCACACAACTTCGCCATCCCCTATGGTTACAACAATAACAAGAGATAATGTGTCTCTCTTCTGGGCTGTGATCAAGAAGAAAACAGACCATTCACCGAGAGCATATGAGAAAGAAAGAAGAGAACACTCCGATCACCTATTGGCCCGATCACAGCCTTTAAAACTAAAGTAGAACTGGTCCTGGCCTTCAAAGCTCTACTAGAATTGGTAGCAGCTCAAAAAAAAAAAAAAAAAAAAAAGCTCCGAGTCTGATACCATGTCAATGGTATCCCCTATGAGTTATGAGAGTGGAAAAAGAAAGACTCGAGAAAAATTAGAGAGAATAAAATGATCTTCCCCCTGGTTGTCACTTATTTGTATGGGTTACAAAGGAAATGACTATTCGGCTCTTAATGAAGTGAGACAGAACTTAAGGCTCATTTTGGGAAGAGTGCAGATACAAATATGTTCAGTGCAAAACCTTGTATACATTATTTCTGAACCTTGTATTTGCAATGTATATATTTGTACTTGCACTCTTCCCAAACTGAGCCTAAGTGATTCTTAAAACATAATAACAACTGAAGAGAACAAAATACCCCTGGTCTCACACATCTTAATACAACTCATTTAATATGATAAGACATTGAAAAAGGGTATAAGACCCAAGATAGATTCTTCTCTCTTTTTATCCTTTTATCTTCTACTTCAATTATCAAATAACCTTATTCTCTTTAGCATGATAGAACAAAGCACATAGAGGGGTATGGACATTTTATTTGTAGAGAAGTTGCTTCCAAGGAAATTTATCTACCCTATGCGAAGACTAGAGATCAACTAGCAAATTTGTTTATTAATGCTATTGATAATACACAATTAACATGTGTACCTGAGAATCTGGGTATGATAGATTTCTATCAACTAGCTTCAGGGGGAGTATTGTGGTTAGGTGATTTACTCGTATGTATCAACTCTCTCTGTCTCTCTTCCAATGTTTAAAGTATAGATACTCTCTCTTTTATTACTTTTTCAATTTGATATTTCAAAGATAGGTATGTTAGAATGGACATTAACATTTGAAATTATTAAAATGCCCTTACTCCTAGTATTTAACTATTTATTGTTCTCATGACCTTTGATACCAATACGTAGAATACAATGTGATGTGTATTGACACTTTGAACCTTGCTTTCTCTTTTGTTAAACCTAGACCTCTTACAAGTTACAACTATTATAAAGAGATACATGTTGCTTCCTGATTACTCTTCAACCAGCTTGTGACTACCTTGGAATGTAAGGTTCTTTAGCATGCCTGGCATGCAAGTTATTTAAGACATGACAACTATGAATTCTAGCAAGTTGAAAGACACTCAACGGGGTTGAAACTTTGCCTTCTGTATTTTCCTGTACCCTAAAAGTTGCCATTTTACTTTTAAATTTCACAATAGTTTTTCTTTAGCTCAGTGATTATCAATATGGCATTTTTCCTTTGTATGACTAGCCAATATACTATGGGATTAAATCCCTCATAAGTAGAAAAGAATAAAGCTTATATATAAATGTCTTACTAGTTTCTGGATGCATCTTTCAAGAAACATAAAAAAATATAGATCATTTATGCTGGCAGAGCAGAGCAACATGGGATAAAAGCCAAGCCTGTTGAGCTGGGCCCATTTATTGACTTCATCAAACGGAACAATCTACAAGGGGAATGCTTCTTCATAGGTCAAAATCAATGTGAGTCCTGCTGAATTGGTTTTTTGTTCTCATGACATAGGTGCTTGTTATTTTCGTACTTAATTAGAACATTGTATTCTATATGATAATTCCCCTTCCATCAGCTCTTAAGTCTGACTAGTGGTGTTTGCAAAATTTTGAACTACTAAACTTTGATGGTTTAAAAATTAATGTATTCAAATTCTTAAGAATAACTCTGTAATCTTTGGAGCTGTACTCGAAGTGGCAAAGAAGAGAAGGAAGCCTCTGAACTGCTGTGAATGTCGAACTGAATAGCTCAGTYGACAGTACTATTATTTATATTATGATGTAGTACAATGATACAGGAAGTTACTGGAATGCCCCTGATTAGTGATGGGACACCCAAACAACTTAAAACATTAAACAGGATTAGGCCCATTAACTTAGGCCCAGTACAAAACTACTTAAACTTAAGTATAGGCTAATAAGAACTCTTATCAGCCGAATACTCATACATACAAAGACTTCATTCCAACAAACTCCATATTTCAATACATGTCCTTGCATGTGCTTCCGAAAAGAAAAGAAAAGATGAATAAAGCTAGTGAATTATATATAGATAGATAATTTCAAGAAAAGGAACATGGCTCTTCTGGGGAAGTGGTTGTGGAGGTTCTCTTTGGAAAGGGATAAWTTGTGGAMTAAGATTGTGGCTAGCATTCATGGGCTGGAAGACAATGGCTGGGATCCTGGAATCTTGGCAAGGGCTTCAGCTGCTTCTCCTTGGAAATCCATCCACAATTTGCTTCCAGT